GTATGTATACATCAATGCAATTTATTTTATTAATCTTTTTCTTTGTCCTCGTAGGGATCCTTCTATGCCAATCCCCTGGAGTGATACCATGGGCACTGACGATGACGCAAAGAGTACCCCTGGGCGTTACCTACCAACATTTGGCCCAAGAGTATTCCCGAACTTCGGGGAGAATTCATGGCCTTGGGACGAGCCATGTATGGTGTGACTGTATTACTAGCGCATCAGATTGATCTCTTATGCGAGAAAGACATCCCTAAGTACAAGAAGGGGTCGCTGTATGAGCTGATTAAGAGCAGTTATAAGGTCAAGGGACGTTTGTTGTACTACTTCCCGGTCGACAAGGGTGCTGAGGTATGTACGGTTCCCTTGGTAGGTAATTACATGTTTATATTTATATATATATATATATCTATCTATATGTGTGTGTGTGTAAATATCAACTGTTGGACAGTTGGAATGGACGGCGGAAGACACTTGGTTCCTATCGACACTACTAAAGCTTATACATGTTATGTATAAATATGTATATATATATATATATATGTATGTATGTAGATGTATATTTATATGTATATGTATATGTACATATATGTATTTATACGTATAGGTCAAGTAACTCATTTTTATACGCACTTAATAGGATAATTGGATTGGATGGCACAACGATAGTGGGTTTCTTACGGCACTTACAAGTGCGCTGTTCTTCAACGATGTCACTGGAGAGGTGATTCCCAACCCTGACCCAAATGGAGGCCTTTATATCGTCAATCGAGCAGGAGGTACCATCAAAGCAAGGTGAGACGTATGGTACACTATTCTATATCGATATATGTTCATAAGCACATATTGTGCCGGAAATCATGTTGGTATTAGTAATACATCTTATAGTCAGTTGTAGTGTACTTGTTGACATGTTAATCCCAACGGTGGCCTTTATATCGACAGTCGAGCGGGAGGGACAATCAGAGCCAAGAGCGTCAATCATTCACTTTACTATAAAGCAATATCCATGCAGGAATACACAATCTGTTGAAAGTCATGTGAACAGTTCTAATATGCCTGTCGACATATCAATCTCAACGGTTGCCTATATTTCGTGCCGTTTAAGAAAATGGAGCTATGTATGTATGTTTATATGTATGTATGAATGTGTGTATGCATGCATGCAAGCATGTACGTGTATGTGTGTGTGTGATGTATGCATGTCTATATATATAATGAGTGACGTAGTCTGCGTACTGAAAATCCTTTTATATAGAACCATTGTCGATTTACTACAAAACTTAAGAAATCCACCTCCGGCCGAACTGATATATATATATCTATCTATCTATCTATCTATTTCTATTTCTATATCTAAATATCGATATAGTATGTGATATAGTATGTATATATTTATATACTATCTATATATATATATATATATATATATATTATGAATTCACTACATACATATATATATATTTATATTTATACATATCTATAAATGCATATGAATATATGTATATATGTATATGCATATACGTATACATGTTATTTTCATCTTGTCATTCTTTCACACATATTTGTTCCCATTTGTTTCTGCCAGAATCCCAGCCGATAACTTGGGTGTGCAGTGTGGTGAGTGTCTACAAATTTTCACAGGTGGACTGTTAGTAGCTACTCCCCACTGTGTGCGCTCGAGTGAACCACCCGAGGGTCTTAAGGTGGGCCGGGGCACCTTCCCTGTGTTTGTAGGTACGTTCGTGTGCCTATATACACATGTGTGTCTATTCCGGGTTGGTCTTTGTTCGTGGAATTGTTCGTGTGTAAAATTATCAACATGTGTGTGTATGTTCCTATTCGTGTACGGTACACCCTTAAGTATGTAAACAAGTATGGGTTGATATTCCTGTGCATGTATATTTTATCACTTCCTGTGGCTACATGTGCGATCTTGTATGTATAGTACATGTGTGTATATTGGTACTAGTGTATGCTATATCATTCCCGGTGTTCGTAGTCACTTTTGATGTTCGACTGTGCCCATACGCATATGTCATCGTATGCGCGTATGTTTCTGATCTGTGCATGTTTGTAGTGTATATCTGTATGCGAGTGTCTTTATTTGATGATATGACCGCTGTTTGGTCAATAGCCAGGTCACATTAGTTCAATTTGTGTGCACGAATGTAGTCGCGCACACTTTCATCTTTGTGCCTTATTCTTGTGCTGGGTTATATTATATATGTATATATATGTATAGGTATATATATATATATGTATATGTATATGTATATATATATATGTATATATATATGATGTATATATATGTGTGTGTGTGTCTATATTTATATATATGTATATATATATATATATGTGTGTGTGTGTGTGTATGTATGTATGTATTTGCGTATATATATATATATATATATATATATACGATGTGGATGTGTGAATTTTAATGTGCTGCTCTGTTCTTGACAGGTGAGGTGTAAAGGTTCTGACACATATCAGGTCAAATGAAACTGTAACTGCAGCAGGCACACTCGTGTCTGTAGCTGTTATATTTCATTACTTCCGAAAGATATTGTTTATGCATATACCGATGTCTTTCATTGATTAAAAATAGCGGAAGAACAAAACTCTGTTTTACGTTTATTGCAGAATATCGTATATATATATATATATAATTATGATCCATACTCTTCATCCTCGTCAAATAGATACACCGCCAGGATATATTCTGCAACGACCTGAGGGAACAACGCTGGAGCAGGTGTTCGATCAAGCCCCAGGTATGCTACGTGTACGCTTCACCTGGTGCAGATCGATACGCCGAGTTACATTTATATATATATATTTATATATTTATATAGATGTGTGTGTGTGTGTACATGTATATGTATATTTATATGTGTATATACATGTATGTATTTGTATATATATATAAATATATACATATATACCTATATACTTTATATATATATATATATATATATATATGTTATGTATATAAATATATATGTGTTGTGTGTATGTATATATATATATATAATATATATATATATGCACTTTATTGTACAAATTCTCATTGAGAGAGACACGGTGTGTACATGTAGAACGATTCCTTGGAGGCTCTATCGATTCGTAAACTTGGTTCATGCCGCTACAGATACGCGTGTACCGCCATTGGCTGAGAGATGGGATGGTAGTGATGTGACCTTTGGAAAGTTCCTAGGAGATACGTTCAAGCAGTACTACGAATGGTCTACCATGGACAAGGGAGATATGGAGAAGAAGATGGGACATGCCATGTAATTTAATTAAACGTGTAGTTTAGCTAGGTTTGAATGTTAATATATGTGTACGAGCTCGGCAAACAAAGTCGTGCAACGATGCATAGATGAGGAAGAAGACGTTCTTTACAACTCAGTGATGAAATACGTTCACAATATACAGGAACACAGAGGCGAATAGAATATAAGAATATATATCAATAGAATTAAATGAATAAATGTAGTAACTACATCAAATGAATACAGTTCCTGCCAACGGGGCGTGTGCTGCAACGTGTGCATGCAATTGTACCTATGTACGAGAGTACAGCAACAATAACTTTTCGTTCAAATGATAGAAATTAAGTACTTAGCAAATAGATGTACCGTACAATGAATACCTCTACGATTTTTCTCACGTTCGCTCACCTGACATATTTCTTTGAAGGTAAAAGATCATAACAAATACCAATTGCTTCCCGATTAGGGAGGCTAGAATGATCATATCAACCCATGCAGCAGGGGAGAGTAGGGATAGCGATTTGTGAGTACACGACTGATAGCAAATCCCGGTAGACATACGGATAGTTTTATTGGCGTATCGTGGCTACTGTGCGTTGTAAAGACAGGCATTTAACTGACGAGTATGAAATTGACAAGCAGAAAAGCGCGGTATTCTTGAGAATCAAAAGCAATATGCTGCATGTTGTCTTTCAATACGAATTCTCGGAACAAACCCAGATCGTACCCTGCATTTTGCATGCAAGTCATATTTCGACAAATGATTGGATGCAGACCATTTTAACGACACAATTCTCTGACCAGTTCAATATAGTTATGCAGAGCACCTAGTGCATTTGTAATTTTGGACCCACTTTTTGTAGATTTCGAAGCTGTTCTCGTGTTGGTATGCTCCAACAACCGGGCCCTTGGTTTAATTAAATATTTGCTGACAAAATACGATCTACCCCTCATATACTTCAGCTCGAATTCCTCCCCAGTGTTCATTTCAAAATATATGTCGGTCAATATTGTTCTGCGCAATGAATCCAGGAGACACTGTCGGTGACAGGTATCATCTTTGTACAGAGTGTCACAGTTTCTGCCTATATATTGAAGATACACTTGAAATCCAGTAGTTTGTTGTCAGCAGAAGCGAGTATTTATGTGGTTAGACCCGCTGGGATTTATCGAGTCATGAACCACTGAGCGGCTTGTGAGAACCGAAGAAGCAATCGTCACCAGAACACTCAAACATCAGCATAGACTAGCCAAAGATACATCATACATATGTAGATTACAATTTGGGTGATATGATGGACATTTTCTGACTTATCTGAATCAAATTAGACCTGTTTTTTATTCAACATCGCTCTCACGCTTCTTCCGCCACATTAACAGCACTACATAAAAGACAATAAACCATCTACTCTTTGCAGCAGAAATGGGACGCACACTTCATATTGCGATGACTGTTGTTGAACCAGCGCTGACACTTTCTGTTGTTCTTGACTTTCTTGTTATACTTGTCCTTACACACATCCTGGTTAGTGTCCTTACATGTTAGCCATTCGGAGTTGGGTTCCTCACGACACTCAGCAATCTCACAGCCATCTTCACCCAATTTGAACCCCCACTGGCAGTACATCTCAAATTCCATCTGGGGCTTAGCTGCAGGGCATGATTTGGGTCGGCACTCGGGAAGTTCACATCCATCGTGACCAGTCTTGTATCCATTGTCACATGGAGACCCACACGGAATCATGTCATGGCACTGATCGGGTGTGCAACACAATACCATCGGGTCAAATGTAGACCAAGAAACTCCATGGGGCTTGATTCGGACATCCTTAGCTAGCTCATTGTATTTAAAACCTACTGGACATTCATTATCTTTAATCCACTTCTTACACAGCTCGAAACTGCTGGTCCCGGAGGAGAAAGCCATGGTAATAGCCGAAGCGCTGGCGAGGACGAGGGTAGTGGTAAAGAACTTCATTTTTGTGATGATTAATTGTAGTTGATCGTGTTATTCTTTGTTATTTGTAGAATATGATATTTCACTATTAAAGTTATACTTCTATATACGAATAGTTCCTCTGAATGAAAGGCTCTTTATATTGGAAAGAATTCTGTTCATTCGTACTACACAGATGGCAGCCATGTTTTTATGCAAGAATCACTGATGTAAAAGTAATTGATGTATCGTGTGTATCTTACAAAACTTCTCAAGTTCACACTTCACACTTCTGACTCCAAAGTGTTGAGTCAAGTTCGCTGCAAAAATACAACGTCGCGAACGACTAAAAACAAAAGATTAAAATAGAACATAACATGCTTGGTTCATAAAGTGTTTTGGTTCATAAAGTGTTGCTGACGCTGGGCTCCAAAGTCTGGACTCTAAGTCTGGACAACAGAGCTAATATTTTACAATATACTTGCTAGTTGCTACTCAAGACTGAGCCATTACTCATCAGTTATCATCACTCATCATTGTCATCACTCATCACTCACTCAGACAGTCACACAATACACAAGTCTTAAAATAGGATATTGTAAAGTTTAAAATTACACATGTATGGCACAAGAGCGGGAACATCGTTGAATTTATGGTTCTTATTATGACTTTTAAAAGAGGAACTAACTATAATAGAATAAATTTGGAGTGACCGAGTGAGAAACCCTGCCTATTGCCTACGGCTGTATTACACTATTCTGTATATAAACTATCTATGTATTTAAAAATAAAGCCCGTGTATTTAACTATTTATGTAGATTGCAGTAGTCTGAGCCAGTGAGTGAGTCTGCTTTACTGTAACTGACTAACTGGACTCAAGACTGCAGAAGCTACTTGTTTTGTTTTTTTCAATCAAAACAATAGTAGTGAGCCATATCGACGGATATTTTTAAAAATAAACCAGTGGGAAGTTGGGAACTGGGAACCAGAGGGAACCAGTTCGGAATGGCTCACAAAACAGTAAAACTTTATGGTGCTTTTCCATAAAATAAAAAACATGATTATATTGAATACACCAATAGAATTTATAATAAATATAGAAAACGCTATAATTTACTCGTGCTCCGATCTATAGTTCTACTACTTGCAACTCGTGATCATGTGATGTATGCTTGAAACAATGAAACCACTCTTTGTATTAAAACACTCAACAAACAGTCAATTAATAATCATGGCCGTCTATGGATACAGGATTGTCTCCGACTCTCCGTATGTATCAAGCTATTTTTCGAGAAACTATTCAGAGGGTAAAGGGCAGAGGGTCATGTCAACCCCCAACGTCTCGAACTACTTGGAAGCTAGCCGCCAGAATTTAATTTTACTTATGGGTCAGACTAAAGATATCGGTAAATTGTAAAGTGTTCCCTGGTGAATAGCTCGACACTCCCCAGATTTTTTCCTTGAGAATGCGTATTTAAGCGTTGACAAAATCATGTATAAATGCCAGAACATTCAGACAGTATTGCTTGAACACTAACAATCACCAAATATATAACTATATTGCTACTAAAATGAAGTTCTGTGCCACTACCCTCGTCCTCGCCAGCGTTTCGGCTGTTACCATGGCTTTCTCCTCCGGGACCAGCAGTTTCGAGCTGTGTAAGAAGTGGATTAAAGATAATGAATGTCCAGTAAGTTTTAAATACAACGAGCTAGCTAAGGATGTCCGAATCAAGCCCCATGGAGTTTCTTGGTCTACATTTGACCCGATGGTATTGTGTTGCACACCCGATCAGTGCCATGACATGATTCCGTGTGGGTCTCCATGTGACAATGGATACAAGACTGGTCACGATGGATGTGAACTTCCCGAGTGCCGACCCAAATCATGCCCTGCAGCTAAGCCCCAGATGGAATTTGAGATGTACTGCCAGTGGGGGTTCAAATTGGGTGAAGATGGTTGTGAGATTGCTGAGTGTCGTGAGGAACCCAACTCCGAATGGCTAACATGTAAGGACACTAACCAGGATGTGTGTAAGGACAAGTATAACAAGAAAGTCAAGAACAACAGAAAGTGTCAGCGCTGGTTCAACAACAGTTATCGCAATATGAAGTGTGCGTCCCATTTCTGCTGCAAAGAGTAGATGGTTGATTGTCTTTTAAATAGTGCTGTTAATTCGCGGAAGAAGCGCAAAAGCTATGTTAAATAAAAAACAGGTTCTATTTGATTCAGATATGTCACAAAATGTACATCAAGTTTTAGTCATTGTAATCTACACATGTATGGTGTATCTTTGCTCGTCTGGTGTACTGGTGTTTCGGTGTTTCGGTGTTTCGGTGGCGATTGTTTCCTCAATTCCCAGATTTCGACGAGCCGCTCCGTACTTCGTGACTCGATGAATGTCAGCGGGCCTGACCATTTCAGTACTCGCTTCTGCTAACACTTAACTACTGGATTTCAAGTCTATCTTCAATATATATGCAGGATCTCATTTTGTACAACGATTATAAATGTTACCGTTAGTGTCTCCTGAATCCATTGCGCAGAACAATTTTCTGAAGAAAACTGCCTATACATACTCTGAAGAAACGATTGATTTATTGTCAGAAACTATATAGCGAAAGACCGGGTTGAATGCCATCTTACAACCAATTTCGAAATCTGCAAACCGTGGGTCAAGAAAATATGGAACGCACAAGCTGCTCCGCGTATATTTAATTAGTCAGATAGGTGTATTGCAAGTAAGGTCTTTAGCATGTGCGAGTACAGAACACTACACATCGTTGCGGACAAAACTGGATACTATGAACAGAATTGCTTTAAACGTCGCCTAGGAACTATCTGTCGATTACTGAGCTTCGAATTAGTTGAAGATATCATGTTAACGAGCTCCTGCGGTGGGAATCACAGTAGTTAGGACCCAAATATATTCTTATAAAAGGATTCATTTGCAACAATTAGGATATATATGCCAAAACATATGTAACGGAAATTCTTTACGATATGGAACTGTATTTAACCCACATTGGAAGAAAGAAAAGTTGACAGGACCATATCATCTAATGAACAACTATAACCAGATAATGCATTCTAGAGCATATAACTTTGTATAGATAGAAGGTGGCTCTACTTCAAAAACGGTGAGTAACTTTACCCCAACTTTGCCCCAATGATAGGTATGGGAACGTGTCAAGTTTCAAATCTTGGTGCTCGTTTCTGGCTGCGAGTTGTATTGTAAAACACACACACACAAAAGATGAAGTGAACGGAATACATCTGAACAT